GAATTGAACGGTGTACTGAGTTGAACCTCAAAACGATGAGCAGCAACAGTCCGTCGCGTATTTCTGATATGTACCGCTCGTGGTGGAATCAAATGTGTCAAGTCACTTGAACACTTTCCGTGAAAGTGTCTATAGAAAAAAGACAAATCTCCAACCCTTTTTCGATGTTCCAGGTTATCAAGGTGATGTTCGCGTCTTCAATCAGGCGGATGACTCTTTTCTGGATGGAATACAGCAACTTCAGGGTATGTTTGTGGGCAGAGCAGTTCTCATACATGAGAACAATACTCCAAAGAAGGTCTGGTCTGAGCTTTAGAAAGCAAAGTGTGTACAGTTTTCTGGTTTGGAACAGTGTTCCAAGCTTTCGAGAAGCAGCCTCTGCAATTCCAGCGACATGATTGTGCCAAGACATATTGGTGTCATTTTAACCCTCAACAAACTTATCGAAGCAGAAAGCGACATTGTCCGATCTAACATTATTGTATCCGTTTCGGAGACATTTATCTTCTTGGAGAAAACCGACGCCTGGGTTTTTGTGGCATTGAATTGAACCTGGTTACTTTCAGCCCAATCCGAAATCACTTCTAGATCCTCATTAAGATATACAACCTCCTGCTGCCGGTGAAGATGTGCCGCCATAACCGATGTCCTGAAATCCAAATGGAATGACGAGACAAGTGTGCTGTCGTCAGCAAAGCAATATATTGTATATTTGGTTTTTTTCAATAAGTCATTGAAAAATTCTCCTCTTTCATCAAATATCCAACCTTTAATTTTTTTCTTGGACATTTCGATCACACCACGTGTCGATGTGTAAAAAATTATCGTTTGGTGTTGGGATGAAACTCCTTGGAGTGAGCCAATCCTGGAAGTTCTGCCAGATGTCCATGAATTTTCTTGTCATCCAGGTGTTCAATGTTTGTTTGGCAAAGCCTCAAGCAATGCCAATGACAGGTCCTGGCCCGATAAAGCGAGGGAGTCAGCAGCTTCATTGCCTTCCAGGCCAGTATGGCCAGAAAACCAGACCAGAGACAATGTTAAGTCTTCCTATCGAGGTTAGTCGTTTTTGGTAATTCGCTACCAATTTAGACGTGGTAGGAGCCAAGAGCTTTCAACGCCGCTTGACTGTCCGGGAAAATATTTATTGACTTGTGTAAGAGGTTGGATTCTTCCAATCTCTCAGTACACAATTTGTTAGCATACATTTACGCTTGAAATACAGTCATATTGGTTCCTAGACAGGTTGATATCTCTGTCCTGGGTATGTGACTGAAAATACCTGCACCAGAACCTGAAGGTGTTTATAATCCATCTGTGAACCAACAACAATCTGTTCCTAATATTTCCTTCCCCCGGAGGATTCAGTCCTCTCTACTCGGGAACAGTACTTTTCAAGGCAGTTCGTAGTTAACAGTCGGAGGCATAAAGTCAGAAGACATTCCCAGAATGTTGTGTCAACCAGCAGTCTGTTGTACTCTGAATTACATTGATTTGTGCAATTGGCAATGTGCACAAGTCTATATGCAGTCAATCTAGCGTCTCCTTCCAGAAAAATGTGGAAAAGAGGTAGATCTAGAAGGATCTCTATGGCCGCTGACGGTGGCCACTGATGGCCAGACAAGTCTGTCTCTGTCGAGGTGAAATGAAGCGCATATTTTTATTTCTTTAGTTAGGTACTTTATTGTCTTAAGGGTATAAATCAATGATAAAGCACTTGCGTCTCAATCAGTGTTGTTGTTAGTAAATTATACTTGGGCTAAAAATCAAAATGGTCATTTTAGTTTTCTCTCCAATAAAACGAATGAGAAAAGATTATTATTCTAGATGTACTTATATGATGCTCTCATACACCACCGTTGATATTCTGATGGAAATATATTTGCAAATAACTGGAGTTCCAAAATCATCGATATATAAATTAAAGAATGAGAGAAAAAATGAAGCTGTGAAATCAGCAATACCATCTTAAGGAAGAGATACTGTGACTGTTCATGGAGACTACAAACTTTCAATTAGATGAACATGTTTCAGTTGGCATTTTTTCAACCTTTCTGGAATAATAATTTGCATTATCTATCACACTTACAGAGTTAGGAATGCGATCTAACATTTGCTCAGAATAATCTTCAAACACATCGCCATTCATGTCTTCACGATAATCGCCAAAATGCTTTGACTCAACATCAATAAACGGCCCTCAACAAAACCATCAACACTTTCAATGTGGGTAATAATCAATAATTTTTGGAAATAAATAAAGGTTTTTGGAATCTTACAAAGAAAGAAAGGAAGCAATTTCAAAAAAGTTATCTTTAAGTAAGGAGAATAGACGGGTCTGGACCTTCCCCCAACTGTAATCCCTCCAGTGCCAGCAGACGACTGTGATTTTAACCCCCTTTTCTATTCTCCGCCTATAAATTGGCCTTGAGTTGCGTGTAACATAATGAGCTGGAACACTTTTTTTAATCTCCGCTCATGACTTGGTATCGAGTTGCGTGTGACTTCATAACCGTGAACCCCTTTTTTACTCCCCGTCTATGATTTGGCCTTTAGTTGTGTGGTCGCACGTCACATGACCTTGGAACAATCCTAACCGATCTTGAGCTATGTCCTTGATACATAACCTTGAGTTTAAGTGAGTTTGAAAGATTGTGTTAGATTTAGAATGTATGTTTTTATAATTCCCTCTGTATATAGATTTTCTATTTAGTTTATGTGATGGCTGATAATATTTTTAGTTGAATCAAGTTTGTTAGTATGTCCCACTTGTATAGGTTCAGTTTAAACCACAAGTCTTAGTTAAACTTTGGTTTAACGAATAAAGTTCGTTGTATAGGTGTTTGTGACTGCCATTCGGAGTTTAACTGTCAACTGATGGATGGAGGGGCAGTTAAACTACAAGCGTTGGTTAAACACTAAACACATGTTCGGATTGAATACTGATGTGTCAACTATTTGTGGTTACTTTATGTATTATAACCTATAAATATTTGACGCGTCCAGATATTTTCTTAGTGGATATATTTGAAATATTTGAAGATGTATTATTTGAAGAGGAAGATGAGATAGATGTTATAAATATTGTGGAAAACCCAAGAAGACCGCGACTTTTTCTACCGCGAATCGACACCATGGACATTTGGATAGACCAGGAATTTATCAATAGGTTCAGGATGTCGAAAGCATCTGTAGGGGTATTAATTCAAGAAATTGGCCTAAATTTGCATAGGAATACACCACAGTGAGTATTTCTTTTGAATTATATCAATTACTAATAATGATACATTATCTTCAAGTGAGCCCATTGCATTATTTCATTTTAGGAATCATACTCTTACTCCATTGAAAAAAATTCTGGTAGCATTAAGGTTTCATGTTACAGGCATCATGCTGAATGTAGCGGCAGACTTTGGAGGAATTGACACTAGCACATCATCACGTGTTGTTCGTGATGTATCGAGAGAAATAGCGAGATTGTCACCTATGTATATTAGGATGCCTATGACGAATGAGGAACTAAAGGAAACCCAAACAGACTTCTAGAATATAGCCAATTTTTCTAATGTTATTGGTGCTGTGGACTGCACCCATATTAGGATTCAATCTCCAGGTGAGAATATATAATATAAATAATTCCTGAGATGTGTGTTCGTGAATACAACTCCATAGTCTCTAAAAACAGAAACTGGTCAATTGAATGAAATATTTTTTCAGGTGGAGAAAATGTTGTAAACTTTCGTAACAGGAAAGGCTAATTTTCAATTAATGTTCAGACTGTGTCTGATGCTAACTTACACATAAGGATTTTCAAAAACTACACCTGACGATTTGATCTCCACAAACTTTATTTGAAAAGTATATCACAACATGTTTCGCTGAAATATTAGTTTTTTCAAGTGATTTCAAGTGATTATACATAAGGAATATAGTTGCTCGCTGGCCTAGATCAGCTAATGATAGACTCATTTACAGTAATAGCTGATTGAAGGCTCAGCTCAACGGTGGGATGTATGGAAATAGTTTCATTGTAGATGATTCAGGCTATACCCTGGACAACCATGTAATGATTCCAGTAGCAAATCCAAACACTGCTGCTGAAAATCTTTATAACGAATCCCAAATAAGAACCCGTAATGTTGTAGAGCAACAATATGGAGTATGGAAAAGAAGATTTCAAGTTTTGAGACTATAAATGAGGGTGTTATTGAACACCATTTTAGCCATTATAGTAGCTACGGGGGTATTACATAATATTGCTCTTAGCCAGAATGATCCCGACTCACAAGCCGACAATCCCATTGAACAAGAAGCAGATGTGGGAAGACATTAATGAAGAACACATTCAAGAAAATGGACATTTCACCAGACAAAACTTGATACATGATTATTTTGTGAATTTGTTGAATTAAATGTGATCGCAGGTCTCTATTTACTAATATACCTAATAAAAAAACGCTTTCTGGTATGATCATTTTTATTTCAACTCTGGTAATGTAAAGCATACTTTGTTTTGGCTTCTATTGCCGATATTTTGACAAATCATCAGTTCCTCAAACTGATATTCATATCAGGTGAATGTAATTCAAAAACCCTTCAATAATAAAACCTGAAGATGTGCTGAAAAAATTTGCGATATACAAAATTTGTTAGAGAAGATGTAACTCTCTGGAGCCTAGCATAAAATAAAAATATTTTTTTTCAAAGGGGCTGATATATCAAACACTGTGATAATGAAAAACTGATAAATTACAGAATTTCTTTTTATTATATTTTCAATTTAAATTTTATTACAGATTATGAACTTATGAAGCAAATTGCACATGACATTTACGTCATTGTACGACGGCAGGTCAATTTTAATTCACTTGTCAATGTTGTCGTGTCTGCCAGTCTTTAACTGAAAGATATATAAAAGATATTATAGCATTTTATCGGTTTAAACTTAAGTTCAAATTAAGCTTAAACCCAAGTTTGAACTAAACTATAAACGAGACCTATACAACTGGCCCTAAGAAGATTTATATTAGAGTTGTCAAATAAATTGAATTTTTAAACGTCAGTAAGACTTTATTTGATAATAAAATTATATCTATCCCATATTTAAAATAGTGGCGACCGTGACAGGACAAAGTTATTGAGGATGGATATTATGCAGAAAGAAAGAGAGCAGCTGCGAAGACATTTTCGGAATACGAGCAGCGACCTAGATGTAGCCTTAAGTACGAAGCAAACGAGTAAGGCACAAATACTATCACTCTTGAGACAATTGGAAGACAAGAGTGATCGAATATTCACTATTGATGAGAACTTCAAGGAGCAGTTATTTTCCGGAAATTTCAACGATTCCGAAGTTCAACAAGAGTTCGACGATATGGAGTTTTATCGAGCTGAAGTAATGAAATATAAATTTGAATGCACAATACGATTGGCAGATAACCAAATGCGAGCAGATTTTGGAACCAGTTCACAGATTTCTTATGGTGAAAAATTCAATGGAAAATTCCGATTGCCAAAGTTAGAGCTGACCAAGTTCGACGGAAATGTGAAAAGCTGGATCGGGTTCTGGGGACAGTTCAAAAAGATAGACCAGGATGAAGACATCGATTTAGAAGACAAGTTTCAGTATTCGGTGCAGGCAACGAAACAAGGATCACCAGCACGGGAACTTGTGGAAAGTTCTCCTCCGTCCGGCGCAAACTACAAGAAAACACTTGACCAGCTGGAATGTTCTGGTAAAGTGTCGTGTTTATCAATTTTTTCTGCCATTTGTTGCCCAATATTTGCAAAAAAACTGTTGAAGTAATTTGATTTGTTTTTATCATCGAAATTTTTTTGGCCATTATCATCTATAATGTTATATTTGTCTTGACATTTCGAGTTGCTGTTGGTCATTTCATTTATATTTTGCCAAATTTTTCTATAATTTTTTTGAGCATCGTGAATTTTATTTATATAATAATCATTTTTTTGAGTTTTGATGAGATTATTGAGGTAGTTTCTGTATGCCTTATATTCCATTTGTAATTCTTCTGAGTATTTTTTATTCAATCTTTTTTCAAGGTGATCCCTATATCCGATGGAGTTTAAAAGCCCCAGTGTCATCCAGGATTTCAGTTTTTTTGTAGTTTCTTGTATTAGTTATTATATTTTTAGATACGTTAATATATTCAGTGATCTTATCACCGAACAATGTGTAAGCAAGTTCTGGTTGATTAAGGTTGAGAATATCATTCCAATTTTCTTTTTCAAGGAATGTTTTTAGTTTATTGTGATTTATATAGGTGTTCGTATATTCAGCATTGGTGTTATTGTTGTTTGTAGTGTCAGGGGAAACATACCTCGATTTTATTGAAATTATAATAGTATAGTGATCAGTTAGATTAGTTCTGTAAATGTACGATTTAAATTTGATTTTCCAGAAAATTTGTTTTCCTGATACTTTTACGTAAATATGGTCAATCACACTGGAGGTGTCTTTGGTTACTCGGGTAGGCTTATTGATGTAGGAGAAATATCCCTGTTGGGACATTAAACATATATAATTATTAGTATTAGTGTCCGAGGTGTTTAATATATTGATGTTGATGTCACCCATGAAAATGTGTACATGAAGTATTTTTTGGGGCGACAAATAATATATAAGTTCTTCGAGGTACAAGGTTAGTTCGGTTGCAGGTGAACAATAACATGCCGTTATTTTGAAAGAAACATTTGACAATTTGACCATTTCTATAAGTTTTGTTTCTGTTAGGTGTTGTATTGAGGTTATGTAATCTATGGCGGTTTTGAGATATACAACAACTCCATCATTATGATTGAATTTAGAATCGTTATATATTACATCAAATTGTGGAATTTTGAAGCTGTCCACGTCGCTAACTGACTAAGTTTCATAGAGGATGATAACGTCTAGATTTTCTGTGTCAAACGTTTCAATAAATAACAGGAGTTCATCGAAAATTTTTCCCAAGGTTCTTATGTTGAAGTGTACTATGGTAAGACATTCGTTACCTGAGAAATTTTTAAAGTTTTCAACAATACTATCGAATACCAGAGTCTCTCTTTCCACACTGTCCTCGAGTACATCTAAGTAGTCAATCATTATATAAAAAAGGAAATGAAAAGAATAATAACAACGAAGGATATTCTTGAATTGAATTCAATGATTACAGACTAGTGAGATAAGACGAAATTAGTTTCACTGACTATAGTTGCCCCAAGCCTCTGGTTTATTTACAGAGTGCATGAAAAGAAAGAAATTACAAAAAAATATAAATGAATAAAATGTTAGAAATAACCTTGCGCAACGTTATAATTTACGATATCAGGAATATCATTGATTCTGACCTTATTCCCGGTAATTTTGCATATACAGGCTGATTCACGGTGGATAGCACATTAGACGTTTCTGGTGAACCAGACAACGGATCACTTTGAAAAATTTCTAATAGAAGCGGCAACACCGCATTGTCGAAAATATTTTAGTTGGCTAGAGAATGTCCGAATATGCCCTCCATTAAATTTTCAAAGTGATCCATTGTCTGGTTCACCAGAAACGTCTAATGTGCCATCCACCGTGAATCAGCCTGTATATCTCCTAACCCGTGTTAGGAATCACACGTTAAAAGGTAAGACCTCGTTAATCCTTAGCTCGCACAAGTTTCGACTTCTGAGGGTTCTCGTTCGTAGAGGTGCGACAGCTGGTTAACGGAAAAACAGTTTTTTTTTTAAGTCCACACTGTCCTGTCTCCGAACGTTGCCTTAGCTTCTAGAAGGATTGTTTTACGTTTCTTGGTAAGGTCTTCAGCGATGAAGATGTTACAACCTTTTAGTTTTCCTACATTTTAAATAACCAGAAGTTTGTGTTCATACTGCTGGAATTTCAAGATAACTGGCCGGGGTTTAAACTAGGGTTTTTGATGCCCGTTGCAGAAAAAAGTTCTTATGTCATCCTCTTTTCATTAAATAATTGAATCAGACGCTGGGTTAATTCTTCATCCGTTTGTTTGGGCATCCCGTATAGGTATATATTACTGAGTTTCTCCCGCTCTTCTAAATTATCCATTTTTTGTTCATAATTTTTAATTTTATCATCCATGCTTTTTACGTTGTCCTCGAGCATATGGATTTTTTGTTCGATTTTGTCTGTGATTGTTTTTGGGACTTGACTAATAAATTCCTTACTTGTGAACAATTCGTTATTCGACCGCGTCAGGAATCACACGTTCAAAGGTAAGACCTCGTTAGTCCTTAGCTCGCACAAGTTTCTCAACCTGAGTTGTCGTTCCTATGGGGGCGACAGCTGATTAACGGAAAAAACAGATTTTAAAACAGATTCTCTAATTAGATTTTTTATTTCTAATTTATTTCTAGTACCTGCCATGTTGTTTCACTATAGGTAATAACACGAGGCACTCTACTAGTTATATTGTGCACTTTTTCAAAATTTTCTGCACCGTATCACTGGTAAAAACGTGTTAAAAGACTGGAGCAAGCCAGCTAGCGACTATCTACCTCGAAGCATGCCTGAATAAAAGTGTTCCTGATATTACAAAATGGTGTTTTACATTACCCTCTTTAGAAAGTCTTATTTTCACATGACACACATAATTAAATTATTAAAATAATAACTGCGATTGTGATTCTTGAGATGTAGTAAAGTAAAAAAAAAATTGGGGGAGCTAGAAAATAATTAATTCTCGAAGAGGGCGGTAGACAAAATAAGTTTGAGAACCTCTGGTATACTTGAATATGAAGTTGTAGGCCCGTTACACTATTCAAAACGTAGACTCAATAGTCATGTGAATCTGCTGAATATAATGGACGATTCTGATAACAGTCATTAGGTATTTTTGGATTCAAGATTCATCGAGATTAGTATCATCTCAAAATATCTGCACACGAACATAGAAAATATTTCTGTGATGTTTGTTTATTGTACTTTGGTAATGAGCGGGGTTTATTGCGACATCAATTGAATGATTGTATCATATATCGACAACACCAACTACAAAGTTCAGAGTTGATAAATTCGTTGAATGTGTACCTGAGAATATTTTGAAATTTGAAAATATCGAGAAACAGTTGACAGTTCCATTCACCGTGTGTGCTGAATTGGAATCAATCTTTAAACCAGTGCATACAAATGAGCCAAATTTTGTTGAGTCTTTCACAAATAGAACCTATCTTCATGAACCATACGCTTTCTCATACCTCATAAAGTGCTATTTTGATGATTCAATTTCAAAATTCGTTTTGTATAGAGGGGCTGATGCATCTAAAGTTTTCATTTCAAACTTGGAGGCTGACGCCACCAATATATGTCACAAATATTTGAAAAATGTCGTTCTAATGAACCCTTTAACTGTTGAGGAAGAACACGATTTCAATAATGCCACTACATGTGGTATATGTGGAAAGACATTCGAAGAGAATTATATTAAAGTATGTGATCATGAG